ATAGTATAGTATAGCAAAAAAGTTGAAAAAAAACCACATAGTGTAATAAGGCATAAAAACGACAGAAAACATCATAGTATAGTAGGTATAAGACACCATAGTATAGTAAGGCCTAAAAAGTGAAAAAAAATGACATAGTATACTATGGCAAAAAAAAGTGAAAAAAAAACACGACATAGTATACAATGGCAAAACAAGTGAAAAAAAACACATAGTGTAATAAGGCATAAAAACACCAGCAAATGTCATGGTAGAGTGTGGTATAAAGACATCATAGTATAGTAAGGCCTAAAAAGTGAAAAAAACGACATAGTATACTATGGCAAAAAAGTGAAAAAACCACATAGCATAGTATGGCAAAAAAAGTGAAGGCATAAAAACACCAGAAAATGTCATGGTATAGTGTGGTATAAAGACATCATGGTATAGTAAGGCTTAAAAAGTGAAAAAACAACAACATAGTATAGTATGGCCTAAAAAGTGAAAAAACGCCAGTGTAATAAGGCATAAAAACAACAGCAGATGTCATGGTATAGTAAGGTATAAAGACATCATAGTATAGTAAGGCCTAAAAAGTGAAAAAACGCCAGTGTAATAAGGCATAAAAACAACAGCAGATGTCATGGTATAGTAAGGTATAAAGACATCATAGTATAGTAAGGCCTAAAAAGTGAAAAAACGCCAGTGTAATAAGGCATAAAAACAACAGCAGATGTCATGGTATAGTAAGGTATAAAGACATCATAGTATAGTAAGGCCTAAAAAGTGAAAAAACGCCAGTGTAATAAGGCATAAAAACAACAGCAGATGTCATGGTATAGTAAGGTATAAAGACATCATAGTATAGTAGGGCCTAAAAAGTGACAAAAAAAACGACATAGTGTGATAAGGCATAAAAACATCAAAAACCGTCATAGTATAGTAAGGTATAAAAACGTCATAGTAATTATAGTAAGGCCTAAAAAGTGAAAAAAACGACATAGTATACTATGGCAAAAAAAGTTTAAAAACCACATTGTGTAATAAGGCATAAAAACACCAGCAAATATCATGGTATAGTGTGGTATAAAGACGTCATAGTATAGTAAGGCCTAAAAAGTGAAAAAAAAACGACATAGTATACTATGGCAAAAAAAGTGAAAAAACGACATAGTATAGTATGGCAAAAAAGTGGAAAAAAACGACAGTGTAAAAAGGCATAAAAACACCAGAAAACATCATAGTATAGTAGGTATAAGACACCATAGTATAATCAGGCCTAAAAAGTGAAAAAAACAACATAGTATAGTATAGCAAAAAAGTTGAAAAAAAACCACATAGTGTAATAAGGCATAAAAACGACAGAAAACATCATAGTATAGTAGGTATAAGACACCATAGTATAGTAAGGCCTAAAAAGTGAAAAAAAATGACATAGTATACTATGGCAAAAAAAAGTGAAAAAAAAAAACGACATAGTATACAATGGCAAAACAAGTGAAAAAAAACACATAGTGTAATAAGGCATAACAACATCAGCAAATGTCATGGTATAGTGTGGTATAATGACATCATAGTATAGTAAGGCCTAAAAAGTGAAAAAAACGACATAGTATACTATGGCAAAAAAAGTGAAAAAACCACATAGCATAGTATGGCAAAAAAAGTGAAGGCATAAAAACACCAGCAAATGTCATGGTATAGTGTGGTATAAAGACATCATAGTATAGTAAGGCTTAAAAAGTGAAAAAACAACAACATAGTATAGTATGGCCTAAAAAGTGAAAAAACGACAGTGTAATAAGGCATAAAAACACCAGCAAATGTCATGGTATAGTGTGGTATAAAGACATAATAGTATAGTAAGGCCTAAAAAGTGAAAAAAAACGACATGGTATACTATGGCAAAAAAAGTGAAAAAAACGACAGTGTAAAAAGTCATAAAAACACCAGAAAACGTCATAGTATAGTAGGTATAAAGACACCATAGTACAGTAAGGCCTAAAAAGTGAAAAAAAACGACATAGTATACTATGGCAAAAAAAGTGAAAAAACCATATAGTGTAATAAGGCATAAAAACAACAGCAAATGTCATGGTATAGTAAGGTATAAAGACACCATAGTATAGTAAGGACTAAAAAGTGAAAAAAAACGACATAGTATACTATGGCAAAAAAAGTTAAAAAACCACATTGTGTAATAAGGCATAAAAACACCAGCAAATGTCATGGTATAGTGAGGTATAAAGACTTCATAGTATAGTATTGCAAAAAAGTAAAAAAAACCACATAGTGTAATAAGGCATAAAAACACCAGCAAATGTCATGGTATAGTGAGGTATAAAGACTTCATAGTATAGTATTGCAAAAAAGTAAAAAAAAAACAACATAGTATAGTATGGACTAAAAAGTGAAAAAAAACAACACAGTATAGTAAGGTATAAAGACACCATAGTATAGTAAGGCCTAAAAAGTGAAAAAAAACGACATAGTATACTATGGCAAAAAAAGTGAAAAAACGACATAGTATAGTATGTCGTTTATACATTATTACATACATGAATACATTATTTATGTCTGCAATTTGGTAAATATGTATAAATAAAAGATTTTAGGTCTGAAAGAATGTATGAATTAAACTACTTATGTATGTATGTACGTATATATTGAAGTATTCATGTATATCTGAAAGCATCTACGAGAAGGAAAGTATGTATGTGTATCATGGTCTGATATGTCATAAAAACGTCATAGTATAGCAATGCAAAAACAAAAATAAAAGTTGTTTAGTAAGGTAAAAAGATGACATAGTATAGTAAGGCCTTAAAAGTGAAAAAAATGACATAGTATAGTATGGCAAAAAAAGTGAAAAAACCACATAGTGTAATAAGGCATATAAACATCAAAGACCATCATAGTATAGTAAGGTATAAAGACGTCATAGTAATTATAGTAAGGCATAAAAAGTAATTATAGTAAGGCCTAAAAAGTGAAAAAAAAAGACATAGTATACTATGGCAAAAAAGTAATAAAAAACACATAGTGTGATAAGGCATAAAAACACCAGAAAACGTCATAATTTAGTAGGTATAAAGACACCATAGTATAGTAAGGACTAAAAAGTGAAAAAAATGACATAGTATACTATGGCAAAAAAAGTGAAAAAAAAGACATAGTGTAATAAAGCATAAAAACATCAAAAACTGTCATAGTATAGTGTGGTATAAAGACGTCATAGTATAGTAAGGCCTAAAAAGTGAAAAAAACCGCCATAATATACTATGGCAAAAAAAGTGATAAAACTACAGTGTAATAAGGCATAAAAACATCAAAAACCGTCAAAGTATAGTAAGGTATAAAGACATCATAGTATAGTAAGGCCTAAAAAGTGAAAAAAAAAAAAAAACGACATAGTATATAATGGCAAAAAAAGTGAAAAAAGACAAATAATAAAGGCATAAAAACATAAAAAAACACAGTATAGCAATGCAAAAACACGTCAAAAAAACGCCATAGTATAGTAAGGCATAAAATGTCATAAAAACATCAAATAAACATGACAGAATACTATAAAAAGGGATCAAACGTCAAAAAACACCACAGTGTGGTAGACATTCTTTACATACTAAAACCAAAGTTGCACACATGCAAAACAAGTACCACCTTAGAACATCATAGAATAGTATACTATGGCCTTTACCTGTGTTTCATTTTTATTTCTTCCAACCCCCTAAAAGGGGTGCATGACTAAAGTCTCTGGTAGATGTAGATAAACCAACATACAACAATATAACAATAAAACCCAGATGTGTAAAGGATCCTTTAGCATGGTAGACATTCTTCACATACTAAAACCAAAGTTGCACACATGCAAAACAGGTACCACCTTAGAACATCATAGAATAGTAAGGCATAAAAAACATCATAAAAACGTCATAGTATAGTAAGTCATAAAAAACGTCATAGTATACTAGGACAATTCTGTCCTCCTTAAATATAGGTAGGGGCATGTCCCTACCGTCCACATGCAAACCTACGCCCTTGATCAGAGCACTCATTTCAATGATCTTCAGTGGGAAAATATTAATAAGTGCTAATGGGTCTGTGATTCCATGGTCATTGCCCACGTGAAATTCAATTCAAGAGTCAAAAGGGACCCATTCTGCACATTGGACCTTGAAGATACTCCAACAAAAGGCAAATCTGTAACCTGGACAATACTGTGTTCAGAAATGGAAAGGGTAGAAACCAAGAGCTGCCACACTGAGGACTGAGGACTCAAATTAGGTTCAAAGTATTTATGTACTGTATGTATACTTTAAATAGTTCAAATGTAGAGAGAACAATAGAGTTACTGTGAAATGTTTATGGTAAGACCTATTTTAGTTAAAATGTTCTCATTCAGTTGTTTTAATAAAGGCTCTGTTGCAGGAGAGTGCTGTTTAAATAGCAGATTTGGGTATTAATGTGACTGTGGGTGTTTATTCAGCAATAATGAAAATATAAATGATTGTAAAGCGTTAGAATTTTCCAATAAGCCACCATATGTCTGTTCTAAATGTTAGTCATTCTCATAATCCTCCAGCAAAACTTGGTCAGCTTCCTATAAATTTTTAATAAATCATTATTGGAAAGGTTATACAAGTTGATAAACAGTTTATAACTGGATTCTAATCCAGCTATCCTGCAGCCCTTTTCTAGAAGGTAAGTTCTTGAACAGTCCATTAGAGATTAGTCCCTTAAGAGCTAAATAGAAAGACAATGCCATGTTTGCATAGGATTGTGGTTATATTTATTCATTTCCTTACAGTTTCTTTGGTATTATAGTATAGCTATAACAGGGTGGGTCTGCTGGCATCAAATACCAAGCTTCAAACATGACTAATAATCAATAACCGACACCAAGTGTTACACGCATGCGCAAAAACGGTGCATCCCTAAAACAAAGTTAAATTTCTCTAAAATAAAGACGTCTTTGTGCGTACAACGTCAAAAACTCGACATCTCGGACCCTCCCGTATTTGCGTCAGGCAGAGATATTTCGCTTGTATCTCAGAGCCTCACATTGACACTCGAAAAAAATCAAGGATATTCTGGAAGACGGAAGTGAGCGCTTCAGTTTTATAATCAAGGCTGTGACCGCTTCGCATGCATGTCAGTATTTGACTGTTTATTTACGTGTGTTATATATGCCTACGAGTTATTGCCGAAGATAGGTCAGAGCTTTCATGTGCCTCTGAGACTAGCTTCCTCCTGCGGTATGGCAGCGGCAGCAGAAGGGTCGGAGGACTGCAGTCGGAGCGGCGGCACTCAGGGAGCGGTAACAGGTGACGGGGAACCTGAGGAGGCCGAGGAGTTCACCTGCCCGGCCTACTGCTCGGAGCTCTCCCGGCGGCAGAACGAGCAGAGGAAGGCGGGGCTGTTCTGCGACGCGACGCTGGTGTTTTGCTCCGGCGGGGTGTCTGAGGAAAGAATCCAAATCTTAACCGCCCACCGCTCAGTATTATCCGCGGCGTCGCACTACTTCACGCTGCTGCTGGGCGGACAGTTTTCAGAGTCCGTGTCGGGGCGAGTGGAACTGAAAGAGTGGAGCTCGGAAACCGGACTAGATCCGGACACTGTGAGCAGTGTCATACAGTTCATGTACACAGGAGAAATCAGAGTGACCACTGCAAATGTGCATGAAGTGTTGGAACTTGCTGACAGGTAATTTCTATTTTTTTTAACCATACATTTAATTTGAATCAGAATAAGATCGTTCCACTTGTCCTACAGGCCTTTTTATCTAGTGGTAAAAAAAGCCATAGTTTGTGTACCTGCATCCTCATTATAATCAGCAGGTGTGACTTAAATAGGAGTGAGCACACCTGTGGAACCAGCTATTTAATTGAGCAGCATGTTTTCATGAAAACAAAACTAGAATGCAAAGTGCATTTGGCAGGACTGTGTGTCAGATTAACAGCCAAATTTTGGGTAAATGATGGGTAGAGTCTTTACTGATAGTCTGTATTAACTAGCCGGTAAATAACGGCTATTTTCATTATGAATCAATCATGGATGGATTCTGACACAACTGGTCCCTATAGGACAAACCCACCCACACTGAAAGAAGCACAAAATGACCACAAAACGCAGCCATCTCATGTTTGGTCATTTTACATCTGTTTGAAGATGTGTTGCATGCGTTTCTGGTGGTTTTGCATTATGGATATTTTGCGTCTTTTTGTAGCCGTTTTTCTTCTCTCATGGCCTTTTTTCGCATCTGTTTGTTGTCTCTTTTCCTCTCTTTGTGGTTGCTTTACATCTCTTTTGCTGTTTCTTGCTGTCTTTTTGCAGATCTTTTTCATCTCTTTGAGGACATTTTGCATGTCTTCATAGATGTGTTGTGTCTTTTGTAGTTTTGTGTCTCTTTGCATTTCTTCGTTTTGCAATTCTGGGATATTTTTTCAGGTGAAGACGAGGGCCCCTTGACCCCTTGGGCTTGGCCTTTACTCAGTAGTCCTGTGCAGTAATCCATCCATGCAGTTAATCTAGGGCTGTGACTAAATCCATTAAATCAGCTGATTTTCTCTCTCAATTAATCAATTGTTGAGTCTATGAAATGTGAAAAAAATGTCAAAAGTACCTGACACAACTTTGAATTTTTGACATATTTGCTCAAACCATTACATATTAATACCAAATTGAGTTGCTAGAAATAGATGAGGCTCGTATTGGCACCTTGTGCATTATGTTTATGAGTTATTAACGGCCATTCAAATCCGTGTTTTCATTTTGGCCTGAGTGGTTGTTTACGGTTTAAACAATGTGCTGCACTGACAACTCCCTTATGCTCCTGTGCTGTTGGACCTGTTAGGGCAGGACAACTTACACCTTTGCTATTTTTTATTCATACATGAACATTGTTGAATTCATGTAATTAGGATCATTGCTACGCCCTACATCAACCTGGGCAGAGGTCAGCCAGAATAAATAAAAAACAAAACCAATAAATACCCAAAGTATTTTTACCTCGCTAATTTCTGGCCCTTTTCCAGCATGATGTCATTATGTACATCGTCTATCGGTAACTTCTTTGACTCTTTGCCATTGGAGCCACAAATTCCATATGTCTGTTCAAGTGGTGCTCGAAGCAATGTTCTGTCAGCGTTGAGTTTGAAGAGACTGAAGTAAAAGAAACAAATAAGTAACCACCTAACAGTCTCTGGCCTCCATATTCCCCCATATACCCACTCATTTCGGTGTAAAGGGTAATAGTAACCTTTGCTTTTCCCACTACGACACATCAATATGTCTCCTTTGAAAAATAATTATTTAATTATTTTATACAATTGATTGCAACATTTTATCGCATCGTCAAGGCAATTTGATAATACTACACTTAAAATTGTATGTTGATGTAGTAGTTTGAGGTAACTTCTGTATATGAAAGTCTGAGTAAAATCCAAGTAAAAACACTTAGATACAGGTATTCAATGTTATAGACCTTGATACTGCCAGAACACCAAGGCAAAAGAAAATTACTACATATAAAGGTTTTCTTACAGCGTCTTCTCTTGGGAATCAAATGTTTTTACACTGTTCATTACAGATCATGATTTTTAACTTTAGATGCTAATGTTGTCTGACAATTCTGACTTATTCACACTGTTAGGTTCCTGTTGGTGCAGCTAAAGAACTTCTGTGGAGAGTTTCTGATGAAGAAGTTGAGCTTGTCCAACTGTGTAGCCGTGCACAGCCTCGCCCACATGTACACTCTGGATCAGCTGGCCCTGGGGGCCGCTGAGACCATTAGAAGAAACTTCCACAAAGTTATCCACAAGGAAGAATTCTACACACTGCCATTTCACCTGGTGCGAGACTGGCTCTCAGACTCAGAAATCACTGTGGATTCTGAACAAGAGTTGTTTGAAACCATTGTAAAATGGGTGCACCAAAATATGGTGGAGCGAGAGAAGCACTTTGAGGAGCTGTTCAGGCTTTTAAGACTGCCACAGATTGCTCCTTCCATCCTGACACAGGTGGTGAGAAAGGAGCCCTTGGTGGCAAACAGTGCATCTTGTCAGAAGCTGGTGTCTGACACACTTGAGATCCATGCTGTTCGCTTTGAGAGCCTTAAGTTAGCAGATTTAGAGCTCCATGCTTCCTACATGGCAGCGGTCCAGCCACGTTTTGGCCAGAACATGGATGTAATCATGGTAGTGGGTGGTGTTTCAGAAGGGGGAGAGTATTTGAGTGAGTGTGTGGGCTACTTTGTAGCTGAAGACCGTTGGGTCAACCTGCCACACATTCACAACCACCTTGATGGACATGCCATCGCAGTCACTGACAGCCATGTTTACGTGGCAGGCTCCATGGAGCCAGGCTTCGCCAAGATGGCAGAGCGCTACAACCCCAACTGCAACAGCTGGGAACAGGTCAGCAGCCTGACCTCCCGCAAGCACTCCTTCAGCCTTGCATGTGTCAAAGACATACTCTACAGCATCGGTGGTCACGGCAACTTCAGTCCCGGCTTCAAGGATGTAACTGTCTATGATCCTGAGCAGGACGAGTGGCACAATCTTGAGCCAGCACCAAAAATACTACGAGATGTAAAAACAGTGAGCGTGGAGGATCGCTACGTGTATGTGATGGCCAGGACCCCTGTAGATATGGACACTGGGGATGGACTGAGCACTGTGACCAATTGCTACGATACAGAGAGTCACAAGTGGCAGGAAGTGGACTCCTTACCACTCATCGATAACTACTGTATTTTTCAAATGGCTGTTGCATCCACCAACTTCTACCACACAGCCTCCTGTTGCCCCAAGACCTACAAGGTAACAGTCGAGGCTGCACAGCAGAAAGTCAGCAGAAACATCTCAGACGACATCCTCGACAGCCTCCCTCCAGAGGTCCTGGGAATGGAAGGTGCTGCCATTTGCTACCTTGGTGAAGACATATTCATCATTGGCGGGTGGAGGAACAGCAACAACATGGACAAACAATATCGCAAGGAGGTCTACCGTTACTGTGCTGAGAGGAAACGTTGGATGCTGATGCCACCCTTACCTCAGCCTCGCTGCCGAGCCGCAGCCTGCCATGTTCGCATCCCATACCATTATCTGTACGGCTGCCAGCGCTTCCCCATGCCCCAGAACCTGGCTCGCCAGCGAGACCGCATGCAGCAGATGCAGCAGCTCCATCGACGCACACTCACTCTGCGGAGACAGTTGCAATCTCAGATTGAATGTTGAGGTCAAATTTGGCATTCTGCCTTGTCTAGCTAGCACTTCATCTGCTGATAAATGCCTTGTTTTTGCCTTTATTGGGGTGAAATGTCTGCATGGTTTATCGGGGGCTAAAGATTACACTGTTCAAATTGCTAGTATAGAGAAAAAATAAGAATTAGCCAGACAAGCTACTAAAGTTATCACTCTTGCATAATCATTTTGGACTTACACCATTAGCTTAAGCCTTACTTTTATTCTGCTAGTAAATTATATTGTGACATTTTCTAACAACTTTGTTGATTTCACTGCTAAACAACTTAGCTTTGCTTTTTATATGTGGTCTGTTTTAACACCTAAGAGGAAATGATGTCAGGATTTGTGGTGCAAGTTAAACTAAAACTGACAGCTGTCAGTGATGCTGTCCTGTGAAATTTAGTAAGGTTTATGTAGAGATGTAAATTTAGCAAATTAAATGATGTCTACATTTATTTGAATGTAGGTTAGAATTAAATGGCACTTAAATTATCAGTGTGGCGACAATGAACATACTGAAACAACCAGCTGAGAAAAGAAAGCCTTTAACTTTTTACTGCTATTGCTACCTTAATCTACTTTCTACCTCCAATTTATTTTTTTCATTATTTTTAAGCAAGAAATAAGTATTGAGCAAAGCACATATTGTGGAACAGGCTGTGATTAAATGTTTCACCCTCTTTACAACAAAGCTTATTTAATACACTTTTGCACTAGAATATGTGCACTAAAACACTTTGTACAGATTGCAAAACACTTTTGTCATTCCAATGGATGTGTATACATGTGAATATAATATTATTCAACCTAAATATTTTAGCCGGTCAAAATTTCCTTTATTTGATTTCCCAAGTTGTTACATATCTTGAATGATCAGACCAAGTACCACCATAATGATGATAAAAAGTCATTTTTTGCAAAAGATCTTTTTTAAATTTAAATTCTCTTATCCAATTAAATGTTATGACTGTGCTTTTGTGGAGTTATTTGGTTTGTTGGTTTTGGTGGACTCATTTGGTTTGCTCTGCCCTGCACTTCTTGCAGAATTTGCTGTCTTACTTTAAGTGAATAAGAGCACACGTTCACAATGTGTGAAACGTGTTGAACCAAGAGGCTGTTTTGTGGATATTTCTCATAATGTTCCCAGCTGTTCCTTATCAGTGTAGTTGAATTAACTGTATTTCCTGCACTGAAGGACCCTGAGTGTCAAATTTAACAGAAGTTTTTTTGTTTTTTTTAACTCCAATCCTCTTACTCAGTTAGTGTTGTGTGGACCAGTTGTTGAGCTCAGTGCGTTTCTCTATTACTGTTGAAATTGTGTTTGCCTGTGGTATCTCCTGCCAAACTGTCAATAACTATGATCTAATTAGGCTTGATGAGTCTACCATTTTTCCACCACACAATGTGAACAGTATTGATATGTATATATGGAAGGTTGCATTTTTAAAGAACGGGTTTGAAGCCATTGGGATTACTGCAGAATGCAAAAGAGTAGACTCAGACAGGCAGATTTTAGTGATTGGCAGTAGTATCACATTTGAGGCTGGGTTTCAAGTTCAGATATTTCTCCCAGTTTGATAACAGTAGGTTTTGGGATAAAGTACGATTTGTCAGTGTCATACATTCAGACTTCATGCAGCCAAGTTTACTGTGTGACATGGTGCCATTGCATTTGTATGTGCAAGAGCTGCAGGTGTAATAAAAGTTAATGCACTGAAATGTAGTTTGTCATCTCTGAAAAAAAGTGCACTTTAATCCACCCAGCCATCTATGCATTCAATGTAACAATATCATGTCCAAAGGTTTTTTTAATGACTAGTACTACATATTGTAATACACTTTACAAAATCATAATTAATCATCTTTAATTTATGGCAGCTGTTGTACAAGCTGCATGCTGTCCTGGTGATTCAATATACATGAAGTCACTCATAGTGTCTCTATGTTACAATCAAGTTCTGCTCATACTTTTATCTACAATATTTTCTAAAATACGGATTGCATTCACAAAAGACATTTAAAAAAAAAAGTGGAGACCGTATCATACGAAAAAATGTCCTGGGACAGAATCTAGAATGATTAAGAACCTCTCTGAAAATCATCAGGTTTTTATGATTTCTTCATTATCATAGTTATTCATTCATAGTTGTCAGTCCATCTAATGGTACACAGCAAAAAAGAGCTGTGTGTACTTAATTCGGCGTAGTCAATTTTCGAAAATGTAAACAAAATAAAGGCTAAATAAACTGAAGTTGTAGCACACTGAGGTACTAGGAACAAATATGCGGCGGAACCATGTATGCTTGGTACACATAAAACTGGGAACGCTACCGGTGCGACAAACAGAACGTAAACAAAATCATTCAAACCAGCTGTCGACTGTAAAGTGGAACATTAATGCACTATTTATTAAATATTTAAGATATAAACAGCAGTCATTTAACACAATGCATTTTTAACGGTGAAAAGCAGTTTACACCTCGCTGACTCGTCTCCTCTCCGTTTGAAAATGGTAAGTTGCAACGATCAGCCGCTACGTAATCATTGCAGTCGTAGTCAAACATGCTAGTAAACCTATAAGTCAGATTTTGGATGGCAAAATAACGAAGGATAATGAGTTTTCAGTCAAATATAGTTGACCTTTGTATATCAGATAAAACATGGTGTGAATAAATGGATTTAATTAGAACTGTCGGGTGTAACCACAACCAAATTACACCATTATTCTCTCTCTATAAAATAAATCATCACCCAACTGAGTTTTCTTCTTGACTTGGCATGCAGATATACCATATTCCCTGGCTTTACACACCTGTGCGGACCGTCCTGGCCATCTGGCACCAACTGATCAAGACCGAGGTAAAGAAGCTCCACTAAATGAAAAAAATGAAGGTTTCATTTCAGAAAGTTTACATTTGGTGAATTTATGTGCACTCACTAAAAGAAAGAAGAGACCTGTCCACTTGTCAGAAAAACAAATTATACTGAGATATTTCAACAACTTTGTGTTGTGTTGTGTTGACATTACCTAAAGCATGTAACATATTCCGGTATAAAGCCCTCCTGGAATCTGCTTTTGCCGATATCACCCCCCTTGTCGTCTGTTCTCTTCCTTTCCGTGAGACTTTGTGTGGATAAACATGCATTGTAAGGCAGAACTCTTTTTGGTTCAGATCCCAGAGCTAGCCAAGGGCTCTGTGCTAATGAGGGAGCGCAGCAGAGTGGAGGAAACAATCAATGCCATGCAGCGAGCAGGTGCGGGAAACCTGCAGGTAAGAGCACTGATTGGAGGGCGCGTTCACATCATGCATGTTTGGAGATGTCCACTTGAGGAGTTTGATTATTTGAGCAGATTACAGGATTGCATGTCAAACTCATTCCAGCATCATCAGGGAATGTGAGTGTCAGTCCTCTTTCATGAGATCATCATAATCAAATACAGCAAATGATCCCAAAACACAGGATTTTCTGGATAATTTTCTGGATACAAAGGGATGAATGTTGACACGTATGCTTGGAATGCTTAGACTCATTCTACATTTGTCTTCTGTGTCAATACCAAAATTTCACACTTTGCAAGAAGACAGATTACTGAAATAACATAACCTTATTATATAACCATAACCTATTATCTGAGAGTTTTGAGCCTTTATCAATAAATGCAAAAAAAAACAACAAACGTAAACCTTGCCTTCAGGGCTTAAACTTAACTACTGTATATTTGATTTAATCATGGATTTGGTTGCTTGCTGAGTGGCACAGTACTATTTTTTAGTTCCAAATGGCCATGTTTTCTCAGGTAATCTCAGACTTCGACATGACTCTGACCAGATTCGCTCACAACGGCAAGAGAGTGCCCACCACCCACAGTAAGCACACAGGCCACAAAGATTATCTGCATCATGGCCAAATGGTGTTTTTAAGATTTGGTAGAGTCTGGACATCTGGATAATTTGATCTGAAGGATTTATCAATTGACCCAGATTGTATTTGTGCATGTTTTATCAAAGTTACTTTGTCCTGCACCTGTGACTTGTTTGTATGAGTGTCTTTGCTTTTCTGAAACTGTTACAAATCTGTTTTCCTTGCTTTATTCAGACATCCTGGATAACCGGTTGTTGATTAATGAAGACTGCACTCTAAAGGTAACTGTGCTACAGTCATAAGTGCAGTCCTAAATCCATTTTACACCAGTATAGTTCTTCCGAATGCAGTTGCTGTTTGTTTTTCTGCAATGACATCTACATGTTTGTGACAAATACAAATTTCAGTTCACATCATGATTTGTTGATTGCTACCCTATAATTTTGGACCCATCACTGCAACATGGACCAACAAGAACATGCTGATACATCCCATTTAGTTGGTCTGTAAAGTATTGTTCAATATTTTGTGTTGGTTCATTGTAGATGAGGGAGCTGTTGAACACCTACTATCCCATAGAGATTGATGCAAGTCGAAGTGCTGAAGAGAAACTGCCTTTCATGGTGGAGTGGTAAGAAACAGACAGATTTACCAAAATAAGCACACTTCTGTTTCAATTAGTACTGTGCTTGTGAATGTTCTATAATTTACATACAGTTGATGTAAAATGTGATAACATCCTCATCTAAGTCCCCAAATTAGATGAAGAGAATCCAATTGAACAAATAACACAAAAAACAGAATAATTTTTCATTTATTTATTGAGCAAAATGATCCAACATTAAATATGTTGTTGGAAGTATGTGAACCTAGAGAATTATCATTTAAAGGGTTGATTAGACCTGAGGTCTCCTCCTCTCTTGCAAGCAGTTCAGTCAAGGGAGCCCACCAACATCAGAGCTGAAATAGTTTTATAAGGAGGCATGGGCCAAAATCCCTCCAAGTCGATCTGCAGGACTGATCAACAGTTTCTGGAAATGTTTGGTTGAAGTAATTGCTGCTCAAAGGGGTCACACCAATTACTAACATACTTGCTATACTATTACTATAATGTTATTTGTTTAACGGTGTTGTCTTTGTCTAGTTTTAGGACTTAGATGAAGGTCAGGTCAACTGTATGTAGAACTATGGAATATTTTTCACATTTTCATAGAACAAGGTTTGCTAACTTTCCAGCACCCACTGAATATGTCACAAAATTGCCAAAAAAAAATTCTTCATTGGTATTTGACTCTGACGTTGTCTTGTGCTGCTCTCTACAGGTGGACCAAAGTTCATGAGCTGCTGATTCAGCAGAAGATCAGAAAGGACATGCTCGCCCAGGCCGTTAAGGAATCCAACACTATGCTCAGGTACACACATTTTAGTCATTTTATATTTTCCTCAACGCGTGTGAACATTAACATTTAGTTTGCTCTATTGTTATGCACAAGAAAACTAGCACATCTGAGGTGCTCTGTAGTGAAAACATTTAAGTAACATTACTGGTAAACAACAAAACTGATAAAACAAGGAGCTTGGCATCAGCAACATCAAATACTTTGTTGACTTTAGATATATTGAACATGACATCAATCTAACTTCTTGTCATACTACTTGACAAAAACATTATAGGAAGAATCTGCAATACTTTGGCAAAAACAGTAATTTAAACGAGTGGTGTTTTCTCATGTGTAATATTGTTCTTCAATTACTTTTCACGTTCAAATAAATGAAACAGTCTAGTTGTTCAGCAGAATTACTGCACATCTCTCAGCTCAGATAGTCATTGGTTCATGTGTCTCATCTGATGAGGTGTGTGTGTATTTCTTTAGGGACGGCTACAAAGTGTTTTTTGAACATCTGTCCGAGCATCAGGTTCCTCTGTTGATCTTCTCGGCCGGTGTTGGAGACGTCCTGGAGGAGGTGATCCGACAGAACCACGTCTTCCATCCCAATGTCCACATCATCTCCAACTACATGGACTTTGACCAAACTGTGAGTTGGACGACAGCTATGCAAGATTCTCGCTGATGTTGATAAATACAAATGATACAATACCATTTTTTTTCCCCACAGGATAATGAAATTAAATCTAATTCAATTTCCAATACAATTAGAGACCAAACATTATAAAGACAATGGAAAAAAAGCTAAAAACTATTTTAAAAGGTAAAAAAAAATGTATACAGCAGGATCATTGGTGTATTCCGCATCATAATATTGACTTTCATCAGGAATGTTGTGATCATGTTACATTTCCTACTACGTTTTAGTGCAACGCTCCAATAGATTTTTATACCAGTCAAAGATCAACATGATGTTATTTCACCAACTTCAGTCTCTGTATGAAAGAACCTTTCTTGAACATTGTTGTTGATAAGGGCGTCCTGCAAGCCTTCAAAGGCCAACTGATCCACACCTTCAACAAGAGGGAAGGCGCTCTGTCACACGCAGCAGGCCTCAGAGAGCTGCAGGGTCGACCCAATGTGCTGCTGCTGGGAGACTCTTTGGGAGACCTTACCATGGCTGACGGCGTGTCTGAGCCCCAGAACATCCTGACCATTGGCTTCCTGAATGACCAGGTCTGACCCGCTGGTTGAATAGACTAATGTTTGGTGCTGGGATTATTTTATGTCAGCACATTGAGTTATAGACATTGAGTTCTCATTGTCTGCGGTTTGTGTCTCAGGTGGAAGAGAGGAAAGAGTCGTACATCAACTCCTTTGACATCGTACTGGTGAAAGACGAGACGATGGACGTTCAAAACGCCATCCTCAGATTCATTACTTCATCAAGAGACAAGTAAGACACACACCGATGGACCTGTTCACTCCATTCACAGTGCATTACTTACCTCAAACCAGACCTAAAACTTGACTTTTTAACCACTGTGTCCACTAATGTGGTTAATGGTGCAAATCACACACACTCTGAACTCTTTTTTTTAATTTTGACATTTATTTGTAAGCTTAGTTTTGTAGAATTTGTGATTACTATCAGCTTTGCAGCCAAACAGATTATTGTTGTGCTAGGCTATACGGTAATCGCTTTCTTCCTGCTGTTTATTTTGGATGTCGGGATCAAAACAGTAGGACCAGAATAGCAATGTGCCACCTCATCAGAACTCAGTGAAGTGAGAATTTATATAGTATTGTTTCAAATACATGAAGTGTGTACCTGCAGCCCTCACTCCGAAAAGAAATCAGCAACTCAGCGATCTCTTAAAACTGTCAGTACAAATAATTTCTAATATTCTGCCCTTTTCACTGCTTTTTAGCACAAAATAGTTTTTTTTTTACTTTGTTGTTTACCAGTACCAGTATTTAAAATATGTTCATGTACGAGCAAAGGCGTTACGTGTTTTGTAACTGTCCCTTTATCTGGAAAGTCTTCTACTTTATACTCACACTTTTCTGGTGTGTACTGTATATTACCTCTGTGTACACTGCAGGTACTTGATGCTCCAGAGTACAGAGACTGTGCTGTACACATGGATCATCAGTTTATTTGTAGGGTGCAGATAACTTGATAGTGCTGTTATCAGTCTTTAAGCTATTATATTAGTCATTATGTAAGTTATTCTAAACATTTTTTTTTTTTAACCAGGGACAGTGTAGGCAAGCGTGATAATACGAGTCAACAGAAAGCTACAGTACATCAGTATTCCCAAGAAGGGAATATACAATGTGGGATGTGCGTGTTCCTAACAAATGTTCTCTTTTAACTGAAACACTGTGGCTGCTATACAGAAGGACTTAACATTGAGCTAGTTGCACTTAACTATAGGTGTAATACTTGTGTAGAACAAAAGATGAATAAGTACTAACTTGTAAATGTGCTTTTCTCAGCGAAAAGGTATAGTTCAATTTTATTTATCATATGGTGGATTTTCTCCCAATAAAAACCGGCAAAGTCACAGGAAATAATGACAGCCTTGAATTCTTTTAGCATTATTAATATCCGTTTTCTCCAACTTAAATTCCACTCAAGTCGTTTTTTTTTTTTTTTTGCCCATTAAAGTTACAATTTGCCAGACTTTGTGGTGCAGGATGCAGAGTTGCAACTACCCCTTTAAGTGTGACATTGAGAAATATTGCAACTCTGCAACTTCCACCAAAAAGAGTGGGATAGAGTATTTTTATGTGCAAGTTAAATACTTTTTTTTAAAATGATATCAGGCAATTACCGACAGTTTATCCATATATTGGTGCACAGATGCAGTTATTTCAGGTGTCATGGTTTTCTGTGTAGTGATACAAGTTGTAGAAAAACCGAAACCATGTTCATTTTCTTACAAACATTTTAATTAATGTGACTTTCAGGGACAAATAAAGGTGCTTGTTTTGTTTTCTGAAATACATACTGTCAAACACTCACACAACACACAAAAAGATCATCTGCACTGTTTTCTTGTCATTTAAAGAAAAAAAACTGTTCAATATTAAAACCTTGACGCTGTATGGGAAAAGTCTCTCGCTGCTTGTTTTTGTTGTGTTGGTGGGTTCATCCCTGAGAGAGAATAAAAACATTCATCCTCATCACAACTCCTCATGCCTCATTTCCCTTTCCTTGTCCTCCTCGACCTTCAGTTTGAGCTCGTTCTCTGTGATCAGTCCATCTTTATTTCGGTCCTGGTTGTGGAACATGTCAGTAACAACCTGCTCCATGGTCAGTCCAGGCTTTATACGACCTTTGCCCTCTGCCACCTGCAGCTTGATGAACTCCCCGAACTAGAAAAGGGTCAAAGAGGAATATTACAGATTACTGTGATGTGGTCAGAGTGCTTCATCAGCTTAGAGAGAAAAAGCAGCTCCTAAAACTGCACACAGGGAAGCCGGCATAACAACACTTTTCCCCTCACTTTTATCTCACCTGAGAAGTTCAGGGTCAACAGGTCAATATGTGATGATGGTCGGGGATAGCCTAATATTTTAATGCCAGTTATAATTAGTGATCAGTTCTTAATTAATCACCCCTCCCCCGTCTTGTGAACGCAAGCTTCCTTTTAGTGCTCACAACTGGAAATCTGAACCTCTACAGTACATAGAAGATCACTTGATGCGATCGAAAGCCCCAGAACAGCTACTAAATGGACCTTGAGATGACTTTTTTTAACTGCTGTTTCCGAGGTCAAGAATACACTTTAAAATTAAATCTTTAAAATTATTTTGATGGCATGTTTACGTAGATCTATGAAACCGCCAGCCGAGTCATTATTAATACCACCACCAGATGGCGCCAAAGTAAGGAATTTATAAATCCCGGTGAGTTTTAAGCACCAGTGTATGTTGGAGTTTTATCATTACGGGGCTCTTTGATAAGCGGTGGTAGTATTTTTACATTACTGGAGTATTTAAATTTCCACTTGTATGTGTGGTGTAATTCCCAGTTACTTTGCAGATTATGATGTTGCATATAAAAACGTTCGTCTTGCAAGATATATGTTTTGAACTGGATGGTCTGCAGTAACCTACCTCCTCCTCTGGAACCTCTTTGTTCTTGTTGATGTCCAAGGCTTCAAACAGGTTTGCAGGAGTGTCCTCGAGCCACACAAACAGGTAACCAGGGGGCACTCCCTTCTCAAAGCTCACCAGTTCAATATCAAAGACCAACACAGCACTGCTTGGCACACCAGTGGCTTAGAGACACAGAAAAGGCAGTTTAAGTTTGGTTTTACCTATTAGTATACGTGTGTATACTCATAATTACCTTTTCATTTATTGTCAGGGCAGTGTAGCTTGTTAAAAAACTTTGTATTATGAGAGGGGTAGACGTAGGCTTCAGCCTACACCTTCTCAGTCACTGCTATCATTTGTTTTTGACACTGAGATGAGCTTAAAAGTTTTAAATTACAATTTCCTTTTTACTTAAATACAGAAATAAGGGTTTTAATCATCCTGTCAGAGTTCAACATAAACAGTCATTTAGTCCATAAAAAACACTGATACTGTTATTCTTATATTTTTTGTGCTAGCTCTAGACAATCAGACTTGAAAATCTTACGAAACTATGGAACAAAGTATAGATGAATTTAAACAAACAACTGGTTCATATGTTTTGGACGAAGCCTAATAAGAGCTATTAGAGCTTGATAAATGAAGAGTAATAATCAAACCATCTTTCTCCCGATAAAAAAAAGTTGTTGGTAGTTATAAGGTAAAGCTGAAGTCTCACCTCCTTTCTCTCCGTGGCCCAGGTGAGGAGGCACTGTTATCAACCTCTTCTCTCCCACACACATGCCCCGCAAACCCTCGTCAAGCCCGTCGATCACTTTGTCTGACCCCAGCACTGCATCCTGAAGGTTCTCATAGTCATGTCTGAAGACAATGTTGATTACGTGTTGGATAAATGAAAATGGATGTGTAATGTGCATTTATGTTGATCTAAAATTGCATGTGATGATAGGGTGACTCACGAGGAAAAGAGCAGTGTGCCGTCCATCATGGTGCAGTTGTAGTGATACCAGACGAGGTCGTTCACCGCGGTGGTATCGTTACACACTTCAGGCTTGTGGGTGGTCTGGATGTCCACTTTGTCGTTGGGGTTGTGGAAGTCAACGATTTGAACGTCAAAGACGAGCACAGCCGACGGAGGGATGACACCACCTGGAAAGACCACAGAAAATGATGGCATTTTTTTGGTAACTCACAGTTTTGGAAACACTGGTCATGTGTTTTTCAGTTACACATAACCAGTCAATTAAAGGACTGTTAATGGTTATTTTATCCGATTAATAGTCCAAAATCCAAAGATATTCAATCGGCAAAGAATATTTAACTGCAAAAAAAAAATGCACTTTTTGTTGTGTATTTACTAAAAGATCCCTTTCCCTTTCTGCAACAAGCAAAAAGAAAGACGGGACTGCTGAATTTTAAACTTTTAAATGAGGCGATCTTCATGTTTTGTTCTGTCCCAATAGTCTGTTTTGACCAACAACACAAAACCAAGTTGTTCTCAAAATGCTCTTTCACCAGGATTTTAATAGGTTATGCAGATGTGTATGTTATGTGTTATTATTAAATCTATTAAGTGTCAATTTGGGATAGATTTTCATATGCATGTAGAGCTTGTTACAAGTTACAAGAAAAAAATACAGTAACTCACCTGCTCCTTTTTCTCCATACGCCAGGTGTGGAGGGATGGTGACCCTCCTCCTCTCCCCAACGCACACTCCAAGCAGGGCCTGGTCCATGCCTGCAATCACATACCCCATCCCGATGTAGGTGTTGTATGTGCTGTTTCTCTGGTAGCTGTGGGCAGTCGCAGACAGGGAGAAATAAACGTCAAAAATGGGTTGTTTTTTTTTTTTTTTCAGAAATTCACAGACAATAACATTATAATGCCAAAAATACATTTTTTGTAAAAAAGAAAAAAAGGGAAATCCACCCAAATAACCGGTGACCCACTTACAATCATTTTCATTGTCGGAATGACCTGAACTCACCTTGTGTCAAAGGTGACTCCGTTCAGGAAAGTACCATTGTAGTGGTACCGCATGTAATCCCCAACGATAGACCTGCGGGTGCACGACTCGGGCACCACCTGGTTCTCAACGGTGATGTTATCCTTCGGGTTATGAATGTCCACCAACATGACATCATACACCAGGGTCGCCTGGGGAGGAATCTCAGTACCTGGTGAGCAGAAAGTGGAGAATTTAAAACTTCTGCTAACGTTCACAAAAAATACAAGTGGTTTGAGTTTTATTTTGGTGGTGGTGTTGTTTTTTTTTTTTTAATTATTTTCTATCTTATTTATGTTAAACTATTAATTATTTTTTAACTCTGTTGTTGTCTTAATAAAACT